TGTATGTTGATCATGACTGTATTCACTTCGACAAAACTCATAGACCTGTACACTAACACGGGTAAACTTTACTGCACCTAAGTTAGACCTTAATTTTCATTGTAATTTTTTAAAGCTTCTGCAAATTTGCTGGCCAAAATTGGAGCTGCCACAGTTTTCATGCATCAGAAATCGAGAACAAAAAAAAAATAAAGAAAGAAAGGAGAAAAAAGAAAAATAAATTTTTTTAAAAAAGAAAGAAATCGAGAACAATGGACTAGGAACTCAAGAGTAGATAACTTGCTGCCCTGGCCTAGTAGCTCAGTTGGTTAGAGCATCATCCCAATATGCCAAGGGTGCAGGCTTAATCCCTGCTCAGGGCACATACAAGAAGTAATGGATGAATAAGTAGAACAACAAATCAATGTTTCTCTCTCTCTCTCTCTCTCTCTCTCTTTCTCTCTCTCTCTCTCTCTCTCTCTGTCTCTCCACAATAAATAAAACTAAAAATAAGAAAGTAGGGATCTTGAGAGACCAAAGGGGCTTCGCAGCGTGGGCCCTGTGAAGTAAGCTGTGGTTTTGCTGGGTGCCAAGGATGAGCTGCTGAAGACGGCCGCGGGAACACTGCTGGGCTCCTGGCCTGCTTGTGCTGAGCTGTTATATGCAGAATGGACCGATCAGTGTTGACAGCGAGCTATTTACTCATCTAGTGAATTATGTCAACTAATTTCCAACCTAATCGCATGTCTCAGGTCACTGGTCATGAGTCTATACCCGTGGTCGGCAAACTGTGGCTCACGAGCCACATGTGGCTCTTTGGCCCCTTGAGTGTGGCTCTTCCTAAGCCTTAGGAGTACCTTAATTAAGTTAATAACAATGTACCTACCTATATAGTTTAAGTTTAAAACATTTGGCTCTCAAAAGAAATTTCAATCGTTGTACTGTTGATATTTGGCTCTGTTGACTAATGAGTTTGCCGACCACTGATCTATACCATTTTCATGCCGCTGCAGGCCTTGATGGGGCAGTGGTAGGGAGAGGGTGGCAGCTGCCCCATACGGCCAAACAGGCACCCTGCTCCTCCAGGCTCCTGGGCCCGCAGCCCAGGCTCTCAGTGTGGCTGCCCCCAGACACCCTCTGGAATCCCATGTGTGTACATTCTACGTGGGTTAGCTGGCCTCTGCCCCATCTCTTCACCCAACAAGCATTGATTGAATGCCTACTACCTGCCAGCTCCAAATTGGGCCAGGCACTGGGGTGGTGGTGCCAAAAGCTAAGTCATGACTTGCCTGACCTCCTACCCCGTACGCCAAATTGCTCACAGTCTAAAGGAGGAGATCCTCACTTAAACCAGCAGATGGGAGTGAAGGCTTTGGAGGCAAACCCAAGCCAGGCTCTGCTGTTGGGTCCCAGAGGATTGTATTTCACCTCCCGCTGCCTGTTTCCTCACCTGCGAACACGTTGCAGAGCTGACAGGAGGCAGTGTGCACGTAAGGAGACTATCCACGCCCTCCCTGGTCCCGGTGCTGTCCTCTCCCCTAGAACTCTCATAGTCTGGATCGCCTGACTGGCTCCTCCTTCTGGGGTCACTTGAAAAACATTTAAAGAGACAGTCAATGCCCAGCCGGTGTGGCTCAGTGGTTGAGCGTCAACCTATAAACCAGGAGATCACTGGTTCAATTCCCAGTCAGGGCACATGCTCAGGTTGCAGGCTTGACCCCCAGGGTGGAGCGTGCAAGGCAGCCAGTCAATAATTCTCTCTCATCGTTGATGTTTCTATCTCTCTTTCCTTCTCCCTTCCTCTCTGAAATTTTAAAAATTTAAAAAAATATTTTAAAAAAACGAAACAGTAAAAATCCAGGTGGTGCATTTGGCAGGAATATCCCAGAAGTGATGGCGTGCTCTTCTCACCGCATCCTGTCAGGTGGCTCAAGCTTTGGTTCTACTTGTCCCAATATTGAGAAGGACCACTGTGATCGCTTGATTAGGGTGGGGTCTGACAGGCTTCTCAGTTGTAAAGTTTCAACTAGATCAACTATGTAAAAGGCTCAGAAAAATATTGTGCTGTCTTAGGCTAAAGAGTGGAGCAGTGGATAGAGTGTCAGCCTGAGGACTGAAGGGTCCCAGGTTCGATTCCAGTCGAGGGCGCATGCCTGGGGTACGGGCTCGATCCCCACTAGGGGCGTGCAGGAGGCAGCTGACCAATGATTCTCTCTCATCACTGACGTTTCTGTCTCTCTTCCCTCTCCTTCCTCTCTGAAATCAATAAAAATATTAAAAATAAAAAGAGTGGAGCAGAAATGGGGCAGGGCCTTCTCCCGCAGGTCTCACGCCCTTTGGGGTTCATCCCGCGAAAGAGGCAGAAGGTCCAGTGGTTAGCAGCTGGACCCTGGGACCAGACCACTCCCATGTGGCGCCTGGCACTGCCCTTCCAGGCCAGGTGACCTTGGGCAAGCTCGGTAGGTAACCTCTGTGTTTCAGTTTCCTTCATCCATGAGAGATGGGAACAGCACTGACTCCTAGGGCTGCTAGGGGGATCGAGTGAGTTAACACACGCACGGCACTTAGAGGAGCACCTGGTACACTGGACGTGTTCCATAAGTGTTAGCTGTGACCATATGGACAGAGAAAAGTGAAGCTCCGTGAGCTTAGCTACCCAAGGTCACCCAGGATCACAGGCACAATGAACCTGGCTGTGCCGATTCCGAAGGCACGGACGCTTTCTGCTGCTGTGCACGCTGGGAATGAAATGCAGGGCGAGGAGGCCGTGCACCCATAACTAGTGCGAGACTGACCGAGATGAGTGCTACCAGCCCCTTCAGGCGCAGAGCAGGAGCAAGTCCAGCTGCTTGGGGATTGCCAAGAAAGGCCCCCTGGCATAGGTGGGAATCAAGAGAGACCTTGAACGCTGAGAAAGATTCGAATAGGTTGTCCAGATGGAGGCAAGGATTTCCTGATGAGGGGAGGGGCGGATAAAGGCAGGGGCTGGAAGAACCTCCCACAGGGGTGAGGGTCAGTTGTCCCCTACGCCAGGGTTCCTCGACCTCAACACTATTGACCTTGGGGCCAGAGAGTTCTTTATTGTCAGCTGTCAGTAGCATCACCCCACCCCCAAGGTGCCACAACCAAAGATGTCTCCAGACATTGCCAGATGCCCCCTGGGTGGGAGGATCCAAATCCCCAGCAATGAGAACCATTGTCCTAATAAAGGAGGCCCGGAAGCCACTCATAGGAGCCTGGCTTCTCATTGGCTTCTCGTTCTTTCCCTCGTTGTCAGGTGTTCTCAGGAGCAGAAGAGACTACACTTCAGGCCACAGGACAGAGGAGTAGGCCCTTCGCAATCCTCAGCTGCTGTAACAGACGGCTCTTTGATAAGGATGTCTCCGTGTAGGAAGATGTGTCTCCACAGCTGGCCAGCCTTCCTGGTCCAGAAATGCCCCAGGTGGGGGATTTATCCCAGCCAGAGGACCCAGCAAGAATGATGGCACTTCACAGGGCTGGGGCTGCAGAGGGGAGGAGAGGGGGACAACGATGATGACGATCACTGGCCAGCTGTGTGACCAGTCACCTTCCCTTTCTGGGCTGCAGTTTACCCATCAGTAAGCTGGAGCACTTGAAGTACATCCAAGCCCTAGCTGGTTTGGCTCAGTGGATAGAGCGTCAGCCTGTGGACCGAAGGGCCCAAGGTTCGATTCTGGTCAAGGGCACGTACCTTGGTTGGGTTGCAGGCTCCTCCCTGGCCCAGGCCCTGGTCAGGGCACATGCAGGAGGCAACCAATTGATGTGTTTCTCTCACATCAATATTTCTGTCTTTCCCTCTCTCTTCCACTCTCTCTAAAAATCAATGGATGAGGACTCCAATTTGAGTTCTCTAAGGAGTAGTGAGGGAATAGTCCCCAGCTCCCAAGGAAAGAGTTCTGTGATCAACTAGTAATGTCTGCCAGGAGCACAGGAGTGGGGGGGGGGGTTGGGTGTGACAGCACAGAGGGTGCATTTGCTGTCTATTCCAAAGGACTCAACCAGAGTCTTGGCATGGCACTGAGGAGGCCACGGGGGAGAGAGCTGATTAGGTCTGTCCTCTTCAAGGTTCCAGGGATTGTGATGAGGAGGTAAAATGGAATAAAGGAAGGGTTACTCAGGGTTGTGAGTTGAATTCCTTCAAATATCCTTCAAAAGAGAAGAAAAACTTCTTTTAAAATTCCTTTTCTCTTCTTTGGGCCGTGCTTTTGAAAATGCTGCTCTGCCACTGGACTGAGCCACTTGGACCACAGCTCTGAGGAGGTTATGGATGCTTCTAGCAAGTTTCCTCCAAAGAGTAGCCCTGCCACCGAGGGGCCTCTGGCTCCTGCTGTACTAGTTGATTGAAAGCCATGCAATCCTGGGCTTCTGGCACAGTTCTCTTGGCAGATATTGGCAGTGCCCTGCTGGCACCCCATTGGCGCTCGCTGCTCCAGTCTCCTCCTGTGCGCACTTGTGCCTGCCTGAAGGCCTTCTCTGGCGTCACAGCTGTGCTGGCGAGCACACAGGGCAGCCAGCGGTGGGGAACTAGTGTGGCCCTGGGAGCAGCCTTGACCGCTGACAAGTGGAGGTTGGAAGGAAAATGCTGCATCTTTCTCGCCCTTTGAGTAGGAATAATCTGCAATGTGTTCTATGACCAGGACAATCACAATGCGGAGAGAGCTGGGGAAAAGGGCTTTTGCAGAGCAACGGGAGGACCGGGAGCTGGGGTGTCACCAGGAGAGAGGGGGAGCACTGGCGTGTGCCCAGCTTCCCGGCTCACCAGGTGGGAAGGCGGGACTGGGGGCAGCATGTGCCCCGCGGGAGATCCTGGTCTTTGAATCCTGGGTGTTGAACTGAGGAGCACAGTAGGGGCCCGCAGAGGTGATGGGCTGGGGGAGGCTCCCGGCTGTGTAACAGGACCCGAGGGTCTCGGGGAGATTGTGCAACAAGCAGGCGGGAAGCCGGCTCACCGTGGCCGCCGCTGCGCTGGGAGGAGGGCGTCTCCCAGGCTGAGTGCCAGGGCGTGATGGAGCAGCGCCCCTGGCAGGGGGGCGGGCGGGGCAGGTGTCGCTGAGAGATGAGCCCCGCCCGGGCGGCTGGTGCTCTCTCCAGGTGAGCATTGCTCAGAGCAGCGGGAAATGACTGCTGGGAGCGGGTGTGAGGTGGCAGCCAGCCCCGACGCTGGCGCATAGCAGTCCCGGGAGCTGGGTGCTAGGAGCTCCACTCCCCGCCGTGGACATCAGGAGCAGCTGGAGTGCCGCCTCCCCGCCACCACCAGGGTCGGGGCAGCATGAGCCGGGCAAGGCACGTGGGCAAGATCCGGAGACGCCTGGAGGATGTCAAGAGCCAGTGGGTCCCGCTGGCCAGGGCCGACTTCAGCGACCACGAGAGCGCCCGGCTGGCCACAGACGCCCTCCTGGACGGCGGGCCTGAGGCCTACCAACAGGTGCTCAGCCAGGAAGGCGAGGTGGACTTCTTGTCCTCCGCGGAGACCCAGTACATCCAGGCCCAGGCCAAGGAGCCCCCCTGTACCCCGGACACCCCGGGAGGGGCCGAGGCCGGGACCAAGGGCCTGGACTCCTGCTCCCTGCAGTCAGGGACCTACTACCCTGTGGCCTCGGAGGACAGCGAGCCGGCCCTGCTGCACACCTGGGCCTCGGCCGAGAAGCCCTACCTGAAGGAACCGTCCAGCGCCACCGTGTACTTCCAGACGGACAAGCACAGCAACATCAGGGACCTCATCCGCCGCTGCATCACCCGGACCAGCCAGGTAGCGATGGCCGAGCCTGGCTCCTTGGCCGGGGCGGGGAGGGACGGGGCCTGGTGGAGGAGGCAGAGGGGTGCGTCCCGCCCTAAGGGATGGAGTCAGGGATGCCACCCCCTGCCTTACCTGGGATCACTGAATTCCTGAACCCATCTGTCACCACCTGGGCCCCAGGCGCCACCCCATCACTGAGCTCCTGCAATAGTCCTGCCCGGGCCTCGGCTTCCCTCCCCATCCCCACCACTCAGGCTCCCTGCTGCTGTAGACACTTTCCTGCACATCAGCTCTAACCTGGCCCCCTTTCTACCCGACCACCAGTGGAGGCAGGCGCTGCACGCGCACTTGTGTGCAGACAGGTCTAGGCAAGTCAGAGAGGACGGGGGACCAGCATGTGCCCCTTGGAGTGGCTCCTTCCTCTGGAAGCACAGAGGCGAGGGCCTGGCCCAGCCTGGGAATTCAGGAGAGGCTTCCAGAAAGAGAGGCTTCGGGCTGGTCCCGAGGAGGTGTAGGCACCAGTCAGGCACAAAGCAGGGAAGGTGAGGGGGCCCAGGCAGAGGGATCAGCACAGGCAAGGCCTGAACATAGAGCATGGTGGGCTTGAGTCTGCCCGTCACTCAGTGTTGAGTGGCAGGAGGTGGGACAGGACCTGGAGAGGTCGTGAGCCGTGCTAAGGAGTTTGCTCTCCCCACTGTGGGCAGCTGGGAGCCATTGGAGGCTCTGAGCAGGGATCACAGCCCACTTGCAATGACAGCCTGTAGCTGGGGGTCCAGCCCTCTGGCATCTCTGCGGGAGCAGCCCATTCATCCTTAAGCCCTCGTGTGTGTGTGTGTGTGTGTATGTGTATGTGTGTGTATGTGTGTATGTGTGTGTGTGTGTGTGTGTGTGTGTGTATGTGTATGTGTGTGTATGTGTGTGTATGTGTGAGAGTGTATGTGTGTGTATGTGTGTATGTGTATGTGTGTGTATGAGCGTGTGTATGTGTGTGAGTGTGTGTGTGTTTATGTGAGAGTGTGTGTGTATGTGTGTGTGCATGTATGTGTGAGTGTGTATGTGTATGTGTATGTGTGTGTATGTGTGTATGTGTGTGTGTGCGAGTGTGTGTGTGTATGTGTGTGTATGTGTGAGTGTATGTGAGTGTGTGTATGTGTGTGTATGTGTGAGTGTATGTGAGTGTGTGTATGTGTGTGTATGTGTGAGTGTATGTGAGTGTGTGTATGTGTGTGTATGTGTGAGTGTATGTGAGTGTGTGTATGTGTGTGTATGTGTGAGTGTGTGTGTATGTGTGTGTGTGTGTATGTGTGTATGTGTATGTGTGAGTGAGTGTGTGTGTGTGTGTGTATCACAAACTCTGCCTGCAAAGGCCTGACAGGCAACAAAATGGGTGAAGCTGGTGGGAGCCAGGGGCAAGAGGAGTGGTGGGGTCGGTGGCAAAGAAGGTGGCACCAGCTCAGCACCAACAGAGCCAGTCTTCCTGCTAAGAGGAGCTGAGAAGCCTTACTTTTAGGTGAAACCTTCTGATCTGTGTTGTTTTAAATTCCTAACGGGCTGTGCTGGTGAAAGGAAGGACGTTAGCAGGCCTCAGGCCACAGAGGCAGGAGCCGAAGCCTTGCTGGGTGGGAAAGGGGGAAGGAGAGGGACTCGGCCAGGGGACTTGCTTCACAAGCCCCAACCTGGCTTCTTTCCAGGGGGTGTGGCTCACCCTGTGAGCGGCAGCTTCAGTGAAGAATCCCCACCTCGGTGCCCACCCCTGGGGGAGCACTGAGCTCATGCAGAGGGACCAGAGCCAGCACACCGAGGAACGGGCCCTGGGTGCTGGGAGGAACCCTCGTCCAGCGTGGGATCCGAGGCCTGGGGAGGTGAGGACTTGCCCAGGTCACACAGCCAGTGCCACCACGGCCCACACTCCTGGCTGCCTGCCGGGACCATCTGCCAAACCCTATTGCCGCCTGTCACGGAACTGGAGATACTGCTGGGAAGCAGCCCAGGAACATGAAAAGCTGGTGCTCCACCCATTGTTTCCTTCAATTTAAATTTTCCAGAACTTCGGTCCCTCCCTCCTGCCCACCCCCCACACAGCCTGCCCACC